CCCAACCTCTGCGCGGGCTCCATCGGCTGGTACAGCGGCGAGCTGGCCGCGAGCACTCGCCGGCTAACCGGCCGGCCACGCTCGAGGACTAAGGCCAAAGCGGCGTGCGAGAGGTGTGCGGATTGCAGGCGGTGCGAGCGGAGGTAGGTGAGGTAGCCTATGAGGATGTTCGAGCTGTAGTAGGGTGCGTTAGTAGGGGAGAGAGGGGAGAGGCGGAGGGGGAGGGTGCGTACTAGTCGACGAAGACGTGCGTTATGGGTTCTGAAGAGCCGGGGTCGGGATCGGGCGACGGGCCGCGCACATCCGCAAAATCCTCCTCCACGCCTCCCGCCTCTCCGTCGAGGGCACTATCCCGCTCCATCCCATCGCCGCCGCCCCTCTCGAGCACGCCGCCGGACTCGGCGCCCATGCTGGGCTGCGCGAGCACGCGCGCCAGCCGCCCCGCGTCGCCCGGGAACAGAAACTTGAGCTTAATAGCCAGCGCGCGCAGCCGGACGCGCTGCGGGTCCAGCGCGCGTTGCTGCAGATGCGTCTGAGACTGAGTTTGGGTCTGACTCTGCGATTGCGGGGCGGGTGTGCGCAGGACGGGCGTCGAGCGCGCGTGGTGCAGCCGGTGCGCGTAGTCCGCCGCCGAGCCCGACGGGTCTTTCGATATAGACATTGCGAGCGCTTTGGACTTGGACCTGTCCTTCGCGGCGAGCGGCGACGACTTGGGCTTCGCGGCCGAGTTGGTGGTGGACGCTGCGACGGCGAGCAGGCCCGCGGCGGTCGTGTCGGCCGTCGCGGCCAGCCGTCGCGCGGTGGACGGCGTGGCGGGCATTGCGCTCCCGTGTCCGTGCGCGGGGGCGGGCGAGAGCGGCGAGCCGATATCGTCGTACGAGTCCTCCGCGTCCTCGAAGTCGGCGTCGTGGCCGCGTACATGCACATGTACCCTCCCACCCCCCCCTCCACTGGTCCGCACAAGACTGCTCGCCCTCCTCTTCCTCCTCCGCCTGTTAATATTATTGTTATGCGAAGACCGGCCGGGCGTAATCGGGCTCTCGGGCTCGAGCGACGATTCGAACGTGATCGGTATCGGCAGCGGCAGCGGGCGCAGCGGTATAGCCGGCAGCGACGCGCGCTGCGCGGCGAGGCGCGCGCGCTCGTTCGCGAGAAACTCGAACGCGGCGTCGAGCCCGCCCAGCGTCGGCCGCGGCAGATCGTGCGTCGGCAGATCGTGCGTGACGAGCGCGCTGCGCGTCGGCGAGCTCCTTCTCGAGTACCCACCATCATTAACACCATAATCCCGCGACTGCGATTGGCTCGTCGCGGACGAGCTGGGCGTCGCGGAGCCGGGCGGCGGGCTCGCGGCGTCGAGGTAGCGCGCGACGGGCTGCTGCGCCCAGACGGTCGAGTGGAGCTCTGCGCCGTCGAGATCGAGCGAGGAGTCCAGATCGGTCGGCGTCAGGCCCCGCGCGTCGCGGTCCGTCGTGGGCGGCGTGCCGGTGCCGAGCCCGAGGGCGGGCGCGAGGTGCGCGGGCCAGCGCGGTTGGAGCTCGTGGAAGGTGCGGAAGACGTTGCGGAACGCGCCGAGGTCCGGCGATTCTGTATATATTGTTCTCCTAGTCAATATACAGTGTGATTTAGATATGAATGGGAGGGAAGGCGCACCGTCTGAAGTGGCGAAGTCGGTCGCGTGGGAGTGCGGGGTCGAGAAAGGACTGAACGCCGTCGTCGGAGACGGCGAGGGGTGGCTGTCAGAGAACGTCGTGCTCGTCATGCGGTTTCGTGGTCGTTATTACAGGCGTCGTGTGCGGTTCAGAGTAGGAGATAGCAGAGGGACATCACAGGATCAAACGAGAGGAGAGGGTAAGAGGCAAGCAGGCCAGATTCGTGCCCGGGCTCCGAGTCCGCGGTGTGCCGATCTGGGACTGGGTTGGGGGCGCGTGTGGGTCCGTTGAGGTGTTGATGTCCTGGGCTGGCAGAGGTGTGCGGATCAGTCTGGCGATTTGGCTCTGAGTAGTGGTGGACCTTTTGTTGCGGTCGAAGCTGTGGCGCCGCCAGACGCCATCGGGAGCGCTCGCGCGTCGCGGAAGTCGCGGCGGCACCGCCGTCGAGCGCGTCTTGCTTCTTCCCATCACCACCACCTCTGCCTCCCCTCGCGCGTAAAAGTCTGCCCCGGGAACTCGCACAGTGCTATCCCAAATATGTTTTCTATGTATCCAGCCTGCACCGTCGAGTGAAGTAACAAAAGTTCAATTCAATAAGAACCGCTGCGAGTCCTCTGGCTAGGACTATGTCATGCGTCTTTCCTGCTCGCGACTGGCCTGTGCATGTCAGACGCAGCTTGCGAGATCGATGAATGCCCAGCTGAGGCAACAGAGATTGAACCTCGGGATAAGTATCTCCCTCGTTCTTGACCAGGGATGGATCTCTTCGCTATGTTTATAACCCCCGGAGGACGATCCGTCGCAGAGCTTGACAGTTAACCATTTCCTTCATCACAGGATGATAACAAGACTACGGCCATCGCCGTACTCTACATCAACAACACCCCATCGAGCTCGCAATCCTACACGCATATCTCAACGTTACGGGTGGAGATCTCAACCCGTACGCGCGCCCACCTCCCTCGCCCACTCATCCAATAACCAACCGCGTAAACCAGCGCGCCCACGCACACATCCCAACTCCGAAATCGCAGCGTCAGCATTCAACGTCCATGTCGTCCGGCGCACTCTACCAGGAAGCTCCAAAGCTAGGGCTCGAGCGACAAAGAGCACGGCGGACGCCGACCGAGACGGCGTTGTAGTTGTAGCGCGCGAATCGGGTGCTCGAATCGATCCGTGGAGGGCGGCGCCGTGACAGTCGCCTCGTGTGCATACGGAGTCGACATCGTACATCTCAGTGTCGGCATTCGACTTCGACCTCTCCGCGCACGCCGGCCCGACCTCCAACCTCACCTAGCCTCACCCAGCAGTTCGCGCTACAGACCCACACCGGGAGAGCGTCTGCGGACCACGACGCGCCCGTGCGTAGCTGAAACCCAGGGGTGGCGGCGAAGCGCGCCTCACCCTCGAGTCGCCGCGTCGAGCACTACGCGAACTGTCAATTGGAATTTGGACCCCTGCTCCGGCGGACAGCGATATGGCGCAGACGAACCGGAAATGACGCATCGGACCCGAAGTGTGCTCGTTCGGGAGCGTGTGTGGGCTCAGTACGCGAACTGTCGAGTCTCTCTCTCTGCTCGATCGAACCCTTGCTCCGGTCTCGCACGGCGGACAGCGATATGGCGCAGACGAATCGGAAATGATGACTCTGCGCTGCATTGGATCCGAAGGCGCTCGTTCGGGAGAATCGTGTGTGGGCTCTTCCGCGCGCGCAGGGCTTGTCGGTCGTCCGGGCCACTCTACCAGGAAGCGCCAGAGCCAGAGCTAGAGCGACAAAGAGCACGGAGGACGGCGACCGAGACGAAGCTGTGCTCGCGAATCGGATGCTCGAATCCATCGTGACAGTCGCCTCGTGTGCATACGGAGTCGACGTCTTCGTCTACATGTTTATGTTCGTACTCAATGCCGCAACGGAATTCATATCTTGCGAAGAATCTGTGACTGGTGTTGAACGTTGACGTTGTGCACGCGAGGAAGAGAGAGAGATGTACTCAGGCTCTAAGTCAGGTCTCGTATATAGGCCGTCTGCGCAAGGCGCCTGATCAAGCGAGCTCGAGACAAGAGGGGCACGACGCGCCCGCGAGCGAACAGAACCCAGAGCGGAAGAGAGTGTTAGTTTGATCGTGAAGAGAGAGATGCCCCATAAGAGTGCTGAAGACGAGAGAGCGCCCAGCTTGAGGCAAGATGATGCAGATAGATCAGATATGATCGCGTTGAATCGAGCGCGGAACTGCCGAGAGTGAGGGCAGCGATCAAATGTGCAGAAGTAGTTTCTAGTCGATGTAAGCCTTCAGGTGCCTTCTGAGTAGACGACGAGTTTAATACGAGTGCCAGTTACCGATACAAGCCCAGACAGTACGCCGCCGCCAACTTGGGCGCTCTGAATCTTCGTGGGCTTCTGCTCAACTGCGCGGCACAACAGTAGCGTTGTATCGCATCGCGTCGAGACATGCTACTGGGAGTAGTAAGAGAGGCGCAGGGTCTTTGCGACAATGGGCATGGTGGCCGTTGCTGGAAAGTGAACAGGGATCGGACGCAGGGAGAGAGACCTGGAGATAAACTCGCTCGCAAGCGAGTTCGGAATCACATGAGCAGTCCCACACAACAAAAGTGCGTAATGCATTTCCTCCCAGGGCCTATCGACTACGGATTTCATATTTACATGGATAACTACGAACTACTTCTGGCGAGCTCTTGCTCGCCGAAACCTCAACGCCCTTCTGGACCTTTGCCTCGCGAAGGTGGTGGAAGGATATGCGTTCCCCAAAATAAATAAATCGGTCGGCAGTTGCCGTGATGGCCTCCTCGTCGCGTCGCGCGCCAACGGCCTCTTGCTCTCGGACGTCCACCAAGACCTTTTCCAATGTCACCACATTATTGCCACCCATCACCGCACTGCGAAGAGCCTCTTTGCGGTACGAAGTGCGAATCACGCGTTCAAGACGCAGAAGATGACTCGAGATACACTTGAATATATTCATCACGTTACTGGTGGCACATACACTGGTTCTGGTCGTTACAGGTGTGGGTATCGTAAGGGTCATGAGGAGGAAGGCGGCCGGGGAGTGGAGAATGAGGTGCTAGTATACATGGAGACAAGGCGTGAGGATGGATGCAGAGTCGAATGGGACGGCCAGCGTCGGATGAACATATGGGTGGTGCGATGACACGAAGCCACCAATTGTAGAACAGCACGGACCGAGGCATACCAGAGCATCTTAAAATCAGTGACGCTTGCTGGGAGGCACCTGCTCTTCGAGATATTCAACTTCCTCGCCGAGCGCATTGACGTCCCCCTCAAGGCCCTCCTTCTCCTCTCTAAGCTCCTCATTCTCCTGCTCGAGCTGGGCGACCCTGGCCTGCAGATCCTGGATCTCCTCCTTCATCATCAACGCGTGCGTCTCCGCATTCGCGTCGAGCTCATCTGCAAAGCGTAAGTACCAAAATTATATTCAAGACTGCGCAACTTACCGTCGCTGACTCTGGCCTGCCTATGTGCTGGCAGAATCTTGCGCTCGACAGCCCTCGCTTTCTTGAGCGCGCGCTCCCCCTCGGCCTTATCTTCTGCCAGACGCTTCTTGCTGTCCTCCAAGACCTCGATTTTGGCGTTCGCATTGCGTATCTCCTTGTTTTTCTCCTCCTCGCTCTTCCGGAGCTCAGCGTTTTCCCGTTCAAGCCGGTCAACCTTGTGCCCGAGTCGTTCGTTCAGTATCCGAAGACGGGCGAGGTTCTCGGCCTCGAATGTCTTGTTTCCCAGGACCACATCACGGGTGGTCGCATCCATAGCATCAATCGCGGTGCCCCGAATGGTACCCGTATGCTGCGCGCGAGATGGCCCCGCGCTCGAGGCCAGGACGGGCGCGCGGGCGGGCGTAACGCCGGTCGATCTTCCGTTGGATGGGCCACTGACGGCGGTGGACTTATTTGGCGGTTTGATCATGGACCGCGATCCAGGTGCACTGCCTCCGAGCTACTTGGTGGTCAGAGCGGGTACCAGCGAGAAATAGGAGATGGGCGCACCGCTGGGCTTTCCGCCAGATTGGGGCGCTTCTTGGGGAGGACTTTAGACGACGATGACCCTGCGGCCGTGTTGCCAGGACCCGTGCGCGCACTGGCCGTGCTGGTGGGAACGTTGACGACAGCAGGACGCGTCAGGGTTGCGGTGCTTGCGGTGACGGAGGTCGCTGGCTGTTGGGATAGACGAGCCTTGATCAGCAGTGTTGCGCTCGCTTGTAAGTAAACGTGAACGCACCTCTACGGAAGCCCATTGTATGTAGTTTGAACGGCGGCTATTGTAGAGCGCCTCCGCACGGGACTTCAAGGTGTCGCCGACCTTCCTTGGATCGAGAGCCACTGCGAAGAGGTGCGAGCTCTGACCGTCAAATTTGCTGAGATCCCTCGCGGCATCCTCAGTCAGGCTGAGGCTGAGATGAGATAGATCGCTATTAGTGTTCGGTAGCTCCTCGTGAAGCAACAAGACGCACATCTCCAGCAAAGAGCTAATGAAAACGGTGGTCATGAGCTACGCGACTCAGCGAGCCGATTGATCAGATCGTGCGTACATATTTGCTTCCTCAAGGTGTGCAACCTTGAGCTCACAGAACGCCGTTGCCGCCTGTCGGAGCATATTCTGCAAGACCGGTCAATCGGTGGGCATCGGATATATGTGATCCATTCAGGACGTACACTGCGAAGGGCGAGACTGGTATCGGACACGACCTCGAAAGAGCAATCGGTCGTTTGATTGTACAGAGTAGGTTGGAGAGCCCAAGTATCCGGAAGTCCCATGCGGCCCAGAAGGACGGAGACTCGGGTAGCTTGCGCCCGAGCGTCCAGTCGGGAGGTAAACATGCCTCGCAGCATGTACGGCATGGGAGCCACCGATTGCCCAGGTTGCATAGAGTCGCTGTGAAGCCGAGCCATTGTAGAGTACTGAGATGGTTAGCAGGTTATCCGTGCGTGGCCTTGACTTTCCTTTATACTAGCGCGGGCAAACCACAGGCGTCCCAGCTAGGCACGGACAAACGGACGGTGAAGAAAGGCGATGCACGAGGATACACGTTTTCCCATTGTTGAACGGAGTACCATCATTCTTCGATCAACTTTAAACTCAAGTGGCAGGAAAGTGGTGTCGAGCCCGGCATCAGTAAGGTGGTCGTCCCTCGAGACAATAGGAAGAACAATGGCGAAAGAAACGGCGAGCAATCGAGTTGAACCTGCACCCTGACCATCGTCCCCCCCAAGTGGATGTAATGCGGAGTTCTGCCGGACCATGTTGCAGGCCAAGACCGTTGCAAGACCTTCGCTATGCGATAAACCTGACATCGTGCGTAGAGTCCACAACACACCCGTAGTCGGGTGGTGGCAGATCCTGAGAAGCTTTTGATGGCCCCCGGGCTCGGATGCGCATAAACACGTGTTTAAGGTCAACAATGCGAGTAGTTGTCCCGTC